TTACATCTCCCACTCTCAGGGACCCTTGTATCAGCTTAGGCAAATGGTAATTGTTATGTCCCTCATCCTCAACCAGAGTTCCGATGTGTGTGGAGTGCTGGAGCAAGCCCCTGGCCCCTGTAAACAGGGCCAGCTCTGTTTTCAGGGCCAGGGGATTTGGTCAAAGTCTCAGACTGGCTGCTGAGACCCCACCAAAAAAAAAGTTTAGCTAAAGTATTAAGTTCTGTTTTTTAAGCTACAGAATATGTGGTATTATGTTACAGAAGAAATGAGAAACTAATAAATGGTTAAATATCGTTTAGCAAAAAAAAAAAATTATCCTCTCACGAACTTAATGTTGGATCAAAATGTGGAAAATGCTAATAAAGTATTTACCCTAATATTTGAAAATAATATGCAAAAATGTGATTATGAAATTATCTTTTTATAACAGCTTTGTTTTGAATACTCTGTCCTAAAATATATTTTTAGTTCCTCAGTGTTTAATCTTGATTAATTATAATTGAGAACCACACATGCATCTTCTTTAAATAAACTAGAAGGAAGGAAAGAAAGAAAGAAAGAAAGAAAGAAAGAAAGAAAGAAAGAAAGAAAGAAAGAAAGAAAGAAGGAAAGAAAGGAAGAAAGAAAGAATTCCAAGAGTTCCAAAGAACTACCAGGAGTGATACCTGAGTGCAGAACCCGGTGTAAGCCCTGCGCACCCCAAATAAAGTCTTCTTTGAAGACTAAGACGCCCTGCTTGGAGTAAGTTAGATAGCAAGAGCATAAAATATGGTAAAGGAAGGGAAGTACAATGGAATCTTTTATAAGTCACTTAGGTATCACTTGCTTTGAATTTATAGGAGATGTAAATTCAGAAATTCAAAAGTAAACTTCAAAATAATCTCAGAACAAGCATACTTAAACACAACCAAAAAATGAAAATGGAACCTGATTACTAAAAAAGTAGTCTTGAAATCTAAGTGCAGGAGCTGGAAATAAAAGAAGCCTAAAGAAGCAAAGACGAACTTCACATATACTCAAAATTCCTATGAAATGGTGGAAGTAAGGAAGAGAGTGATAATACATGGCTAAAAAACTTGCCTTGCATGTGGCCAACCCAGGCTTAATCACTGCCACCCCAGATGCTTCTCTCTGCAGTGCCAGGAGTGATGCCTAAGCATAGAGCCAGGAGTAGACACTGAGTATTACCAGATATGACACAAAAAAAGTGGCAATAGATGCCTTTATTTCAATAATTTGTCTGAATTTTAATGGCCCTAACTCACCAGTCAAAAAGCATAGAGTGGCCAGATGGAATAGAAAACTAAACCTAGTCCTCTGCTTACAAAATACCCGCTTGAACTGTCATAAGCAAAAGCTGGAGAAAAGGGCTCAAAAACATTTATATAGCCAAATAATAGCCTAAAAAAGCTGAATGGTCATGCTTATATAAAACAAAATAGACTAAATTAAAATGATGATAAGGAATCAGAATGTATACTATGATCAAGGAAATGTATATTATGATCTTTTGATCAAAACTTAACACTCATTTGCATTTTATACAACAGCGTACCAAAATATATAAAGAAAAGTAAGCAAAATTAGGGGAATAATAAAATATAGAATAGAATTCAATGAAGTAGAAAAAATACAAAAGATCAATTCTATATAATATGACACCAACACATCTATATCGAATAATATAAGAATGAAAGCCTTTCATTTATGATCAGGCACAGGACAAGATTGTCCACTTTTTCCACTATTATGCAATATAGTATTGAAAGTTTTTGCTGCAACAATTAGTCAAGAAAGAGAAAAAATGAATTCTGATTAGAAAAGACAAAGTTGTACTATCGCCATTTGCAGACGACATAGTATTATAAATAGAAAGTCCTAATATGAAACAATAAATTAATTCAATCAAATGGCAGGCTTACAAACTCAATACCAAGAGATCTGTTGCATTTTATATGATAACAATGAGGCAAGAGAGATAAATCATTAAGACAGTCCCATTTGCAGTTATGTCCCCCAAAATCAAGTACCTGTGAATCAGCATAACAAAGGAGGTAAAAAGTAATTAATCAAAAATACAAATTACTATAGAGGGCCAGAAAGATGGTACAGTAACTAGTGCATTTGCCTTGCATGCAGCCAACCTGAGTTTGATCCCTGGCATCCCAAATGGTTCCTCAACCACCACATGGAGTAATTCCTGAGTGCAGAGCCAGGAATAACTTCTGAGCATCGCCAGATGTGACACCCCCCCACTAATATGCATACATGCATATATACAGATATACATATATATACATATGTGTGTATATATTACTGTCAAATGAAATAGGAGAAAATGGAACTTTTTCTTGATATTTGAGGAAAAGCTTTTAAGCCATTCACCAGTGAGTGTAATGTTAATGGTGAGTTTTCAGATGTAGCATTATTGTGTTGAGGTATTTTTCTTCTGTCTCTATTATTTTTAATTGTGAAAAAGTATCAATTTGTCATTGTCAGATGATTTTTCTGCATCAATTGATAAGATCATGTGATTCCCCCCCCCCATTCATTCAGTTAATGTGATACATTATATCAGTCCTTTTGAATTTATTGAACTCTTTCTATTGTGGTATTTAAACCCTATTTGGTCTTAGTAACCCTTTTACTATTCTGCTGAACTGATTTGCCAGCATTTTGTTGAATATTTGTATGATTGTTTTCATAGAAATATTTTCCAAAATTTTCTTGCAATATTTTTTAGGTTTCAGGGAGAACTAGCTGTATAAAGTATTTTGGAAATTCATCCATAAAGCAAGAAATCTGGATCTGTACTTTTCATTCTTTAATGAAGTAAAATAATTTTACTGAGGAAGGATAACTAATTCTAAGGAGAAGGTGTGATATAAGAAAGAGAAAAAGAGATGAAAGTTCAGAAAGTTAAAAAAAAATTACAACCTAAAGAAGGACATGGACAAACCTGGGTGAAGGGTTGTAAAATAAAGATTCTGCCCCTAGTTTTCAGATGCAGGTGGCCCTAGAGTAGTGCCAGTCCTTTCTTGATGCGTAGATTTTTTTTTCAACCGATCCAAGCCTTTTGTTTACTTGTTATAAGTTTATTCACATTGACTGTTACTTCTTGAGTCAATTTTAGTTGTATATATTTTTCTAGGATTTTAACTAGTAGTGTTTGTGTAATGTTATTTTATTACAATTTTAGTTTCTGTTTGATAAATAATGGTAATGTTGAAAATCTTTTCCTATCAAATTTTTGCCCTTTAAAGGGCAATAAATTTGGGTGCAGGACTTCATTTTAAGTAGATACTTCCTTATATATTCTGAATTATATGGAGAGCCATATCAGAGCTCTACTTTATTATTTCATTGTCTACTACTAAGTATACTACCCATTTTGAATTATACTGTATAGAATAACAGTTGAAATTCCTCTTTTTTTGTGTTCTTCCTTTCATTGAAAATACTATTTTACTCAACTAAATTAACTTGACTATTCAACTTTAATCTAATTGCCTATATAACTGCAGATAGTTTTTAATATGTTTAAATCTAGGGAAATCTATAATTTGGTGCATCAGTATGTATCTTTCTATGACATTCACCTTTTTCACAACATACAGTGTTCTCCTTTTGGCCTAGTTATTTTCCTTTCAATTTTATTTCATCATTTTCTACACTTTCATACTATCCATAGGTTGTTTCTTTTCACAGCCTTAGTTTTAATTGTTGTTTTTCAAAGGTGTGTGTGTGTGTGTGTGTGTGTGTGTTTCAGTAGACATATATTGTTAGGTCTTGCTGATGTTGTTGTAATTTTATGTGTGTATCAGTCTGAATATTATGTTGTTTAGTATATTTACATTTAATAAAATTATTGATATATTTGTAAGTAGCATGTACCATTTTGCTATTTTTAATCTTTGTACTATTTTAATCTTCCTGTTCTTTTACTTTTTGTTAAGCAATGGTTTTTAGACTTTAATTCTTTTTTATATTTTTTACTTTATTTCTTTGCATTTTTTGATCAATATGCAATGTTAACTAGGGGTAAATATAGAAACCTTACAATAGTTTAGTTCCATTTCCTCATTCCCAATCCTTGTGCTATTGGATCGTAATAGCACATAACATCATAATAGCACATAACTATCTTTATGCATATATATCTGTGTGCAAATTGTAAAATATAATTTTTCTCAAAGACTCCTGTCTTCTAAAGGTATTAAAATGAACATAGATAAGTAGATAACTAGGTAAATTCAGGAATAGGTATACACATGGAGCTGGATTAATAAATATCTATGTATATTTATCACATCTTTTTATTTATTCATGTAATATATAGATTATCTTTTGATACATTTTGTTGTAACCTAAAGTTCAGCATTTCTTAATGCAAACATGTTAGCAACTCTGTTCTTCTATTTATATTTATTTAAAAGTGTTTTTGAGCCTTTAATTTTGAATAGTTTCAGAATAATCTTTTAAAATTTGTAGTTGTTCCAGTATGCTATGTCATGTGTTTTCTCAGTAAGAAATTACCTATTAATCAGATTTTTGTATGTTATACATTATTTTCCCTTCTTGTGTAACTTTCTATATTTGGATTTTCTTCATTTGTTTTGCCTTATAATACTTTAATTATGATGTTCTTAAGTATAGTTGTTTTATTTATTCTCTTTGTCATTTGGAAATTTTTAATGATTTTCACCAAATTTGGGGAGTTTTTCATTATTATTCCAAAAATATATCACTTTTTTACTCTCTTTGCTCCTTAGATGACTTGTGTACTTTATGAGTCATGGGAGATGTTTCTTACACAATACTTTTAAATCTTGGAAGAATGATTAGAAATGAAAGAGGGAAGTAAAGTTGAAATACCAAATATTATAAGCAAATTTAGTTCCTAAAATATATATGCTGCATGTACACAACCAGGTCTAAAATGGGAAATATTGATGTTACTTGTTTTCTTTCTCCATTTTCACAAAATTTATTTGTAGGTGCATTTCCTCCTTCTGCCGTTTATGCTCGAAAAGACTTGTTACAACGATCTACCCATATTGCTACTAAAACTTTCCAAGCATTTCGCATATTTGTGAACAATGAGCTCAACGAACTCTACACAGGACTGAAGACAGCTCAGAAGTTCCTGAGACCTGGTGGTCGACTTGTTGCCCTTTCCTTCCATTCACTGGAGGATCGCATTGTCAAACGATTCTTACTAGGTATAAACATGGCAGAAAAGTTTAATCTAAGTGCTAGACAGAAGGTGAAACAAGCATCACAGTTGGATTTGGATCATGAAAACAGCGAAGAAGTCTGTATGGGAAGGGCCCCTCTACTGTGGGAATTGATACACAAGAAGGTACTTACTCCAGAAGATCAAGATGTACAGGATAACCCCAGAGGGCGTTCAGCCAAGCTTAGAGCAGCTATCAAATTATGAGAAAGTTGCAATCCGATCTTTCACAGTTTTCCTTATAGTTTCTCTTAACTTGTTCACATGATGTTCCTGAACAAATGAATATATGTTCTATATGTGCCTATAATTTGAGAGTTTTTTGAGTTTCTCTTAAAGAGAAATAATGGCATGATGCAGAAAGTTCATTCCAAGGACAGTCATATGTCAAATATGGAACCATATGTTTAGCTAAGCATTATATTTGACCTTTGAAATGTACTTTTTTTATTTAATCAGGGAAGCCTTTTTAAATACTACGTTTTTTTTCTTTAAATATACAAACTCAAGTTGTTTGGAGAGAGATTAAAGTCATATCTGCATGCCCTAAATTCTGGATTTAGATAGTCTCATTTACAACAGAGTTTCTGTGGCTTAAATAATTAATAATGATCATGGAATTTTAATTTCCCTACTTGGAATTGATTGCGACTATAGCTTTCTCAAATATAGATATGCAAATTTTAATTTTCAAGTGTTATTTTAAAAATGTATCATATTCATAAATTCATATTTTAAAGGAACTTTTCAGAATGACATGTGATTGTTTCCATATATTCCACAGTTAAAATGTATAATTTCTCTAAGAGTACACCCAAGGAATATTTCTTAAAATTTGTGCTTTGTGTTCATTTTAATTATAGTCCAGATGCCTTTAATAAAGAATTAATTCTCTTTATTTGAATTCTGCATATTTATTGAACGATTCAAACTTTTTTGACCAAGTCTATTTGAAATAGAAAACTCCATGATGGTTTCAGGACATTAAAATTAATATGCAATTAATTAATCTTTTTTACTTACAAATAGTAACTATAATTGTGAAATGTTTATTCAGTTCATTTGGTAGAGAATTCTTTAACAAATTGATAAGATTGATTAATATATCACATCAATTTTTATACAGAAGTATGCACTTCTTGTTTATTTTATTTCATTATTGAACAAGTACTGTACTAAGCATTAAAGAAACAAAGGTAAAAGCTGTGTAGACCCCGATAGGTGTCCTATGGAATTCTATTCTAGAAGAGAGGAACGATGATAATAATCACAAGAATCTCTAGAAAACTGACAGCAGAGTGAATGAAAGAGTTGCCCTTGCAATCACATTCATACAAATTATTCAAATAGAGGAAAAATGTATCATCTGTAGTATGACTGATTACAAATCCTGTATTGGTCAATCCAAATGAATAAAATAGCAATATATTAATACAGCCAAAGATTAAGAATTAAATAGATATAGGATGGGAAGATGGCTTTAAGTATGTGGAGTGTGTGCTTCGTATTCAGAGCCCCAGGGTCATCCACAGCACTGGATGACTTCCTACACAAAGAATGATGAGTAATCCCTGAGCACTGCCAGAATGTGGTCCCCAAAACATAAATTGGTATATATCAGCGGGTAGGGCGTTCGCCTTACAAGCGGCCAACATGGCCGACCCGAGTTCGATTCCTCCGCCCCTCTCGGAGAGCCCGGCAAGCTACCGAGAGTATTGGATATGCCAGACACAGTAACAACAAAGTCTCCAATGGAGACGTTACTGGGCCCGCTCGAGCAAATCGACGATCAACGGGAGGGCCTTTACCTTACCTTTATCTATATATATAGATCTAGCACTGTGGCACTGTCTCCCGTTGTTCACCAATTTGCTCGAGCAGGCACCAGTATCGTCTCCATTATGAGACTTGTTACGGTTTTTGGCATATCGAATATGGCAAGGGGAGCTTACCAGGCTCTGCCATGCGGGTGGCATACTCTTGGTAGCTTGCCAGGCTCTCCGAGAGGGACGGAGGAATCAAACCCGGGTCAAACACGTACAAGACAAATGCCCTACCCGCTGTGCTTTTGCTCCAGCCCATATATATAGATGTATTTAATGAAATTGTTGAAAATTTACCTCAGCCTAGTCTTATTTGCAAATGGAATATTTAGCTCCTGAAATTGTTTTCTCCTTTATTCAAATATTCAAATCTAAAAAGTCCTGATTGGTCCCAGATTTTAAGTAATTAAAGATCAGGTCAGAATGAGGAGGCCTTAATACATACATACCTGAAGTTTCTTCTTCTTCTTTTTAAAATTGAATCACTGTGATTTACAAAGTTACATAGTTTTTTTCATGATTTTCAGGCATCAATGTTCCACACCAATGCCTTCACCTGTGTTTACTTCCCTTCACCAATGTCCCAGGTTCCCTTCTACCCCCAGCCTGCCTCTATGACTCACCCTTTACTCTCTTCAGCATTCAGTCTTTGTCCAGAGTGATCATTTCCATCTGTCATGTCATAATGGTCCCTTCCCTCACCTATCCTCCTTCCCCACACAGTGGCAAGCTTCCTACTCTGGAAGAACACAAACCGCAAAATATAGTAGCTGAAGAAGATAGAGACAAAGACTGAAGTGTTTCCCCTACAAATGAAAGGATGCTTAAGAATTGCTCTTGACCACTTTAGATAGAAGCACGAAATAGATTCTCCTTCAGAGTCTTAAATTGAAGCTCTGCTGACACTTTGATTTCAGTCTCCCAGCCTCCAAAATAGTGTAAGAATAAATTCCTGCTGTTTAATATCACCCAATTTCTGATGATTTGTTATGACAACCTTAGAAAAGTAATATTCTAGTTTAAAAAATAGATGAATAATATAAATTTTAAAAAATAAAATCAATCTCAAAGTGTTATAATGTAAAATATGTTAGTTATTTGGAAATTTTAGTTTTGGCTAATATTATGTTGTTTTTATAACCTGGCTATGCACCAGGATTATTCTTTCCAATGTCTTAGTCTTTGATGTAGGATACCTAATAAAACACATAAAGAAGTTCAGATAGTCAGGATGGGGGGCGGGAGGGATACTGGAATTAGTGGTGGTGGAGAATGGGCACTGGTGGAAGGATGGGTACTTGATCATTGTATAACTAAAACCCAAGCACAAAAATTTGTAAGTCTACAACTGTACTTCATGGTGTTTCACTAATAAAAATTTTTAAGAAAAGAAGTTCAGATAGTCAACTGTGAAAATGTTTTTGGGAAATTCTAACTGCACAAAATTTAAGCTGGTTATTAAAGTGGATTATTAAAATTAATAGATTAATAATTATTGTAGCATTAATAATTATTGTAGCACTGTAGGACTGCCCTCCCATTGTTCATCGGTTTGCTCAAGCAGGCCCAGTAACGTCTCCATTGTGATATTTGTTACTGTGTTTGGCATATCAAATACATCATGGATAGCTTGCCAGGCTTTGCCATGTGGGTGAGATACTCTCGGTAGCTTGCCAGGCTCTCCGAGAGGGGCAGAAGCATCGAACTCAGATCGGCCAAGTTGGCCGTGTACAAGGCAAACGCCTTACCCACTGTGCTATCAAAAATTGATATATTTTCTACATATACAGAATTTCTTTTCTATTTCTGAATATCTGTATTGGTGCATTCTACCAATTTTTTAAAATATGGTAACTTCAGTGTTATTGTATAATAATGTTTATAGGTTGTATTTCTCACTTTAGAAATGAAATTTTTAAACTGAATAGAATTTTTAGTTGATTTTTTTTTTTGGTTTAAAAACGTGTAATAGTTACTATATAATTTAACAGAACAAATTTTGGGTTTTTTTGTGGAAACATTAATCACATCTTTTCTATTGTATATAATATATAACTTTATTTGCGTTCATTTATATTGAACTAGTCATTACGTTACAGCCAAGAGTTTATTAGAGAATCAGTATGCCTAACTGAAGTTTTATTTAGCAGTACTTAGTGATCAAGCCCAGAGGATCACACATGCAAGGTACGTGCTTTCCTACTTAAATGCGTCTAATTAAATATTTAAAGTTAGTACCTCTTAAATTTAATTTTCAAATACTTGAAAATTATATTTCAGAACTTTGACCATGAGTGTGGAAAGGTCGGACTGCAGCTGAATCTCACCAAGACAATGTTCATGAAAAAGGAACTAGTCCCTGATGTTCCATTTGCTCTCAATGGAACGAACATCTCCGAATGCAGCAACTATGTGTACCTGGATCGAGAACTCAACATGAGGAACGACTTGGTGCAGAACTGCGCAGGAGGAAGAGAGCATCGAAGGAATTTTTAAGAGGATGAAGAACCCTTGGCTCTGGGCACATCTTTTCAACTACACCATTCTTCCTGCACTGACATACACCTTAGAGACCTGGGCCCTACAAAAACAGGAAGAGAATGCTATTTAGGTCACCCAAAGAGGAATCAAAAGAGCTATGCTTGGAATATCACATTTCACTCAAGTAGGAGAAGGAATCCAGAGTTCCAACCTCTGTCGACGAATGAGAATCAGGGACACTGTCTCATTTGCCAAAGCATTGAAAACCAGATGGGCCGGACACATAATGCGATTTACAGATGACCGCTGGACTAGAGCTGTTACCGACTGGATTGCACGGGACGTCAAAATGCATGGCCACCCACCTACGAGATGATCAGACTTCTTCGTCAAAACCTTGAACAAATGGTTTGAGGCTCTTCTTGTTCAAGCAGATGCCATTGGGCTATACTAGCACATGACAGGGACAAATGGAGACATTGCTGGCGCCCACTCGAGCCAATCGAAGATCAACAGGATGACAAGTGATACAAGTGATATTTTCTTTTCTCTTTGCTAGCCACTACATATGTTAAGATATTATAAAATTATTTTCATTGTTTTTTAAATTACTGAATGCAGTGATGAATTTATGCTCCATACTAATTTCACTTGAAATTTCATCTGAAAAGAGTTTTTATTCGAACATTCAAAGTGCATGACAAAGAAAATTATCAACACTTTCATTTGACTAAAGAGAAAATATGTGTGTACTTTAATTCAATATGCATCTATTAAAAGCTTCCTACCTAAAGCCATTCAGGGCTTGCTTTTGAAGCCCATGTTCTCCTTTGATTACAGATTTCACTTGTTTCTGTGTTTTTTTTCCTTTTTTTTCTCTCTGGAGAAGCCTGAGTTCTCTTTTAAAAACATTTTCTCTCCTCTACTCTCATATCTTCCTAAGCAAGATTTGTTCAGTAAACTACATTAATCCACTAAAAAAATAAAAATTAAATTTTTTAAAAAGCCGACCATTTCTAAAGGTCTCATTATTGCTACTCTCCTCTCCTTTTAATTCTCCTTTTATTTTCCTTTCTCTTTTCACATTGGTACAGGAAATTCTGATGCCATCCAGAATGTTAATGTATATTTCAGATTTACTCTGATAAAAAAAATAGTACTCACACAAACTAAGGTCTATATGCTCGAATCTTTGTAATGGGTAAGAATGAACAAACGTTCCTAGCAAAAATTCTGTGATATTTTAATGTAGTTGCCTTTTGAGCATTTGTGATTATTATAGTATCATAATTATCTTACTAGGTATTTTTGTGTAAGCAACATTCTGTAATAGAAACTTTAAAATATGGATGAAATTAGGCTATTATTATACAGCGGGTAGGACACTTGCATGACGGACAGCTAGGCTCAATCTCCAACATCTATGGTGCTCTAAGCAACAGCAGGAGTAATTCATAAGTGCAGAGCCAGGAGTAGCCCCTGAGCATCTCCAGGTGTAACTCAAAAATAAACCAAAAACTGTGAAAGAAATTATGGGGTAAGGCCAGCTTCCTCTCCGATTTCCTGCAGAATACCTTCGCCTGCCTCTGGCGTGACTTGGACAAGTTGGGCATGCTGTCGGGAGAGAGAGAATGGAA